AAGCATGAAACCTAAGTTACACAAAGCTTCTTCTTCTGATTACCTCTAACCATCTAATAACAACAATTCACACAGTACACAGTGTAATAACCACCAATCTAACATGAAGTCCATACTGGAAACTTGACTGACGCTATTCAGCCTGACTAGACGTATGACATCGACTATCTGATCAAAAAAATTTCTTCGCTAAGGTCTTTATTCTATCAACAAGAAGCATTTGAACTATTAAAATTTATCTCTGGGAAATGATCTCAGTAGTCTAAGGATAGTAATTTATTGGTGATTAATACTGATTAAACAAAACCAGATTGATTAGTTGGTTGACTGACTGATTGGTTGGTTGGTTAGTTCATTGATTTTTTGTGACGTCATTCAATCTTCTTAATTCCGTTGTTGAAATTTTTACAGTCACACAATTTTACAGGGTTTTTTTCTCCTTCGTCTTCTTTTGCCTAATGTATCATTTGGTTTTTCTGTTCTGCGTAAATTGTTCAAAGGTTTTTGAAAAATATTCTCTGGGTGAGGATAAAAATGTTAGTCACAAGGTGTTTTCGCGTACGGTATTCCAGTTAGATATTGGAAATCGATAGCATACCTTTGATTAAACATCGCAGACAAAAACTGTATGAAACTAACAACCTGAGGAGGTTTAAGTCGTACTTCTTCGCATCTGTTCTGTTCTTAAGGTAGGTGAAGAACTTAAGCACTGCTGTAGAATGCAATTCCATTCTAGATAAGTTTATTTTAATTATCACACAGTGATGATGCATTATTAACAACTGGATGACAAGGTTTCGGGCATAAATTATTACTGCTCACAATCATATCAGTTTTAGTTATATGGTTTCACAATATGTCTTACATATTTTTCCTGCCTTTCTTTCTCTTCAATTTCCCCTTGTTATTTGTCGCCACTTTCCATATCTCTGGTGAAGGCGACTTTGTGTCATTCCGATTGCACGTGTGCGGTGTTGAATCGATAAACAAAGCTTCAGTCAGTGATTAACCTCTCTCTCCACCTAAATAAGTTACTTTTCCACACTGTCTTCTTGTCCCTCCCTATTGCTGTTTGGTTACATGCAGGTGAATGCAGTGCAATGGCTGAGCTTTTTCCTAGGTTATTCGACTTACCAGGGTCAATCATTTTAGGTATAGCTAAATTTCTATGTTTCAACAATCTAACTAACTCCGATCTACTCGTTTGACCTGCGTAGTTGCCCTCACTCACAGTCGTAACATGGTATTTGGTAAATTATATTATTTTTCCTAATTGGATATATCCGGTCCTTAAGCCTGTAGGACTTGGTTGGTTGGTTTAAATGTCACCCTAGTATCAGCCTCATTAAGAATCCTTCATAAGGACCCTGACGTCACTTATTTATACGGCAGTCCTACAGAAGCTTTGAATTCTATATTATTTTCGTTAATTTCATCACTTTTGTTGCAAGTCTTAGTTTTACTATGGTTCTTCATATATATTTGAATAAGTTCTGGTGGGTAGTTATTCACTGGTATTATTTCTCCCAGTTTTTAATATTGCATCTATTCTATTTTTACCCATTCAAGTAGGTAAAGACGAAAATGAGGCGAATTTTGCTTACAGTGATAACTTTTAATGTTCATATCGAAAAAAAAGAACATTCATTGATTCAGTAGGATGAAGAAAACAAAATGGAACTAACATAAGGCGGTCTGCTTAAATTACACTGAGGCTACCCAATTTTACCATCCATGAAGACAATCATGTTGAATATACAGCCACGGGGACAGAATCCAATGACTGGTCTGTGTATTTTAACTTTTGTCAATTCTTGATGTACGTAGTGCAGCTGCCGGTCAACTTTGATCGGCGAATATTTGTGCACATACCGAATTCGGTGGACCCCCTGACCACCATTTCTTCCTAGAACTTCAAATAACTTCATCCTGTTTGTCAGTGGTTCTCTAATTGAAATCAGCTTATTAAGGAGATTGATGGATTTCTTTAGTGAGTATATATCTATACATTTACAAAGTGTTTTCATTAGAACAGAAATAGACCATATTACTAATCAAATGAGAAGCTAAATCTTACTTAGATTGAGACACTCTCAACTGGATTCAAGTTCCACATTCCAAGAAAACTTATAAGTGAAATATATATAGACACCTAACTGGATAATCTATTCAGCCAGTTAACCAACTTACACCGCACTAATGACGACGCATAAGGTTTTTTTAAATCAAGACTAACTGACATTTCCAATCAGCACATTTATTTATCAATTCTACTACCCGAAATCTTGTCAGAATAACATCTAGGAGCAACAAAATATCTCACAGACAAAAAGGACAACATCATATTACCACTGATGAAAGGTTCAGGAGTCGTAGTGAAATTAAACTCCTTTCTTAACGAGGCATCTAAATTCAAGCTGCACCAATGTTTAGCCCATTGTAACGGCAGAAGACGAAAGACTCGTTATCTCTATATAGCCAAATTATGTGCACCTTATCTTCATTTCACCATTCGCACAGATCTTCGCTGTTGTGCTACTCCTGCCGTTCCTTCATATTTTGTGTGTTTCTTTGTGTTCTTTTCACGTCTCCCATGTATCTCTGCATAGCTGTATCATTTTCCTTCTCTGACATCAAATCCATCTCCCTGCTGTTTGATGTTTTTATGCCAATGAACATCTTGTTTTACATATACTACTGATAAATCTTATCAGTAGCACACAACACACTATCTTCGTTATTTTAATTAATTTTTTTATTTTTATTACAGCTTGATTCCACACCGTATTTTTGGTACAAGTATGGAATTTTCAGCATGTGATATCATTAGCCCAAGTTTTGCAGGCCGACCATAGATATCAGGTGTGCGTTGGCAGGGGGTCGAACCCCGGACCATGTACATGGTCGGCGAGAGTCCTAACCACTCTGCCACCAACGCGGTTGACTTGACGGTTTCTAGTATGAGCGTTTCGACGGTTGGATTCCCCTATTGCTAGTCACCATCCATCAAATTACTTCAGGATGCGTATTTCGTCTATCATTTGACATTCGTCACCCACACGTACCTCCAATCCCCAGTGATTGACGATGTTCCGACTGACACTCAAACTAAGCATCCACCACTTCAAACACAGAAGCACCATCCACTAGACTCCTTGGGCGACCTTTAGTACAACTGATAACAGTTATTATTTGTTAGCAGAGGCTGGAAATTTTGGCCCAGTTAACCAACAAAAAAATAAAACCGAGTGAAACATACACTAATTTCACTCTAGTATTACTTTTATAGAACCTTTTGGCTAATGAATAGTTATCAAAAATCATCCCAGCAATTAATTACGCTTTTTAAGCTTTGGTTTGTGGAGATTTGATTGGTTTCCGGATTTCATCATGAAGTGACGGAGGTTAGAGGACCATTAGGAAAACACGAAGTACTGAACAGCCGTTTTGTCATGGCTTGGGACTCTTTATCAGTACGCATCCACCGTCAGGATTCGAACCTGGGACCTTCTTGTTACAAGGCTGTTGAGCTCGTAGACCATTAGGCCAATGGGACCCGATCCACTGGCCGGCCGATGAATTCCAACTTCTATCAATTCACTATATGGCTCGATCACTAGCCAATGTCATCACTGGAGATGACACCCCCAACTTGTATCTGGCTAGTGGCGTATAACTGTGGAATCCAGTGCACACATATCTCATCCATTCTGGGACTCATCATCGGAGTACATACCTAATTGCATGTTGTTCTGGGACTTAATTCCTCTAGAACAAGTTTTTCACATTCCAGGATACAAACAACAAAATTATTGTGTGAGGCCTGATGATGCTGCTAAGTTGCAAAGCGAATTTAAAATAGGAGGTGTGGGTTTCGGACCTGGTACATACTAGCTGAATATCAAGTTATTAAAACCAGTGAACTACGTCTCTCCAATAAGAATGACTGTGTGTGTGTGTATGTGTTCCCACCTGCTATTATGGATTACAGAATCAAAAAGATCACATACCACAACAACAATACAAAGCGCAGAGGGATTATTGATTGATAACAATTCTCATGATTAAATCATCAATTGGGAATTATTTTGCCCTACTTAAATAAAATAAATGAATTAGTTTCATTTGTATTATCAAAAAATAAAAATAAATTATTTTTAAAAGATGCAATTTTAGTTCTTATTTTTCCCCTTTTAACATATAAAAAATAGACAGCAGTGATCGGTGTGTGAATGCTTAAAGACTTAATTGAAGAATAGTATGCAATTCCCTTTAGACTAAAACTAACATTGTCATCAATTCGTAGGCTGATTGACACAAAGTGATTGAAATTTTGTTGGCAGAAATATTATTTCTTAGATGCTTGGAGTGTAGCTACATATCTAGTTTATTAAGCACTGTAAGTCGGTGGCATAGCGGTTAGGACGCTCTTCGACCATACACATGATCCGGGTTTCGATCCCCGGCCGACACACGTCTCCCTTACCTTGCTAGGCCAGAAATAATTCTGCTAAAGAGGAAAGGTTTAGCATGAGGCTAGCGACCCCATCCTGTAAAAATAAGTATTGCTACATAAACTTCAAGGCACTACCTTGAAGCCCTATGTTCCACTGGGGAACGTAAAGGAAAAAAAGGACTGTCGGCAATTACAAAAGTTTAGGTAGAGCATGAGTTGAATCTAGTGGTAGAATCCTCGCCAAGTTCCACCTCAACCCTCACAATGGGATTGGAGGTCGATTCCAGGCCGACTGACTCCTCCTAAACCTCACCTAGCTAGTGGTAAGCGTTGTGATAAAGAGCGAAGGTGTAGCGTGAGGAGGAGTTAACTACTCCATCCCGTAAAAATCAATACCGCAGTCACTGAGACTTAAAAACTCAATAATTGAAGCCCTCTGTCCCACTCTGAACGCAAAAGGCAGGGAGGGAGAGAGAGCTTGTAGATGAATATATATGTGATTACGTAATACTTGGTAATATTCGTAGTATTCATAGTGACTTACCTTTATGCATTCCAGTAATTTTATCTCTTAATATGAGCAAATCATAAATTGGACCAAATTCTTCAAATATCAACCTTAAATCATTCTCTTGCATACTTCTTGGTATTTGTCCAACAAATAATTTTGTATTTTTCATATTCCATCTATTATCATGATGATTATCTTTTTTAAATGCTGGCTTATCATGATCAACATGCATAGATGAGGTATTCATAGAACGATGATGTGTATCCATCATATTTGTATCCCCATCAACTCCATCTTCATGAAGCAAATGTTGATTCCGCTGATCGCTAGTACAATGTTCACTGGAATCACAAATTTCTTCGTCAATATTATTATTTTCCTGAATTACACTATTAGTATTGGTAGTGTGGATTGTTTCCCGATCACTTGGTATGGTAACACATGTACTTGTTATCAAGTTAGAAGAAGAAGGTGGAGGAAGAGCGGGGGAAGAAGAAGAAGACGGAGACAAGGAAGAGGATGCAGAAGACGGTGGCGAACAAGACGGAGAGGATGATGGTGAGTTACTCGAATCTATTTCATGTTCATCCATTATAATTGAACTATTACAAGATGATAGAATACATTCATCACAAGTATCTAATAATATATGACTACCATTCATATTATGCGTGTGTTCACTGATTGTGTCATCTATTATTGATGTAGAGGTAGTCGATGTTTTGTTCACCATCTCTGTTGTCATAAGTGTTGATGACGGTGATGTAATGTCGAGGCTGCTGTTATTATTATTGTTATTATTATTATTTAATTTTGTTAACTCTGTGTAATTCGATGTTACTGTCAGAACGCTTTGATCTGATATTTTATGATGACGTAATGGTTCATTTAGGCTATTCAACAGTTTTGTCATCATTCCTAGACAAATGAATGCGAGAAATCAATACAGACAGAGGTGAAATGTCTATTTGTATGTGTGTTGCGTGTGTGTGTGTGTGCGTGTGCGCGCGTACACTTGGGTTCTCAGTTAACCATCAATTAATATAAATTAATATTTGTAACCAGTACTGTCAAAATGTTACGAGTTGATCACAGTAATGCTTTTCCGTTATTAAAACGGGATGAAACGGCTTCAGAAAAAATACTGTGGTGGATAGACAGTTTACCTTGAAGTGATAATCAGACGTGGAGGTGAAAGCCGGCACCAGTAGAAGAAGATGATGAATACAACGACGATGAGGAGAAGGACGGCGATTGATAACGATGTCGATAATGCCAATGGTTGAAATGAAAAAGGATGAAGATTAACAAAAATGACAACAAAAATAATAATGATAATAAAAGTAGTATTTGAAAAACATTTTTAACAGATTATAAAATATGGTTTAGAGAGAGAGAAGAGTAAACTAAATGTGAGTGAGTGTCTTGCTCACTCATTTTCACACGAGCTCACTCACTCACTCATTCATACATATTCACAATTCATTCATACGGTTTGCTCAATAGGATTTATTTAAATATAGACATATGCACTTACAGATGGACACACATTTATATACGTTTGCATAGTGAGCGATATACAGACACTTTAATAATACATGTAAAGGTGAATTTTGTTTGTTGTATTTGTCATGTTATACATAATACATATACACTTATAATCTGTACAGCGGACAATTGATGATCTTGATGCATGCGTGTGTGTATGTGTGTGTATGCCTATGTGTGCATCTACAAGCAGTTACACACATGCATGTGTTTGTATGTATGTACACTGACTGATGATTATGTATGATACTGACAAAATTTAATTTGTCGAAATTATTATTTCATTTTTTTGTCGGTGTTACATGAACGTTATTTTGTCCAGTGGTCTGTTCCTACATATATGTATACACACATGTATATATCTCCATGATTATGATATCACGCAGACGACATGTAACATTGAGTACAAACCGACTCATGTATACACGGCAAGTCGGGGTTTGACGAAAATAAGGAAGGCGGATATATATATGCGCATATATTTGTATATATACCATAAAATGCAAAGTCGATATATGCACCCAAACACACAAGCACAGATCCATGCACTGAGTAGACGGTTGTATTATAAACATGATCCCGATGTTAATAAAAAAGAAATAAGTCATAAAAACAAAAACTAAAAACAAAAAATAGGCGTAATGAACACGGCGCAGTAATCAAAGTCGATACTGTTTGATAAGCATATAAAATTGACATTGTGTTTTACAAACTCATCTTTACTGTTCTTAAGTTACCTAAAAATCTCCATCGAGTTATATAAAAGAAAAGGCGTTTAGCAAAAAGAGGGATTCTTTACTGTCAAACAGGAGGCATTGCTATGGGATCACCAGTATCTCCGCTAGTCGCCGATCTGTTTATGCACTCATTAGAAACAAATTCAATTTTGAGATGCCCTAGTCCCCTTCGTCATAATCAAACGTAGTTTGTTAAATGAACTTTTTCACAATATGTCAGAGACTATCAAGTTTCCCAACGAGGTTGAATCCGACGAGAATGAGTTGGCGTTCCTGGACTGTTTAGTAAAAAGAAAACTAGATGGCAAATTTAAAATAAATATTTTCAGAAAGCCGACAAATTCGGATAGATACCTAGACTGCTATTCAGCTCACCCATTTACCAGCAAAGTCCCTGTGGCCAAGAATCTGATTAACAGAGCCAAATATCTAGTTACTGAGAAGGAAGATATTAGCAAGGAACTAAAATTGGTTCAATCCACTCTTGAATCAAATAATTATCCTAAAGACTTCATAAAAAGATATTTAAAATAAGAAGATAAGGATGTATCGAAAGCTGCTGCTAAGAATTGGGTTAGTACAGCGGTCATTCCTTACCGCAAAGGACACCGGATGAAATAATAAAACGAATCCTTGATGATGATAACCTGAGTGTATTTTCGTGCAACTAACACCTTATGCCGATCACCAGTGAAGGTTAAGGATAAAACAGAACAAGAAAACCAGCAGAATTGCGTATACCAGATCAATTGTGGAGATTGCAACGTCGTATATGTAGGAGAAACTACCAGACAGGTAAATGTAAGAGTGAAAGAGCATAAACAATATCTAAAGGTGGTTCCAAAGAGCTCTGCAGACTTGAAGAAGCTAGAAAACAACTCAGCGATCGCACTGCATTCGATAGAAACGGGACACAAAATCGACTATGATAAGACTAAGGTTTTACAGAAAGGTTTTTGGTTAATATAAAGAAAGACTGACTGCGGAAGCCCTACATATATGGGCGAATCCCAAGAGTGCGAACAGACGTGAAGGTGTGATGTTAGCTGATGCATGGCAAATCCTGACAAATACATAAAATTGGATATTTATCAACAGCTAGTCCCACTTGGTCAAATTCCTGATCGTCTACGTCCTCTTATGGTGAGGCTAACAAATGTTTTATGACTGTTCACCCACACACACACCACTGTATACTGCATTCAGACACATATATTTTAAAAAAAGTAGACTAATTTTGAAAGTCTGAGGTCAAATCTCGATCACAGTTCATATGAAAAAGAGTTACTCTTTTCAGCGATATCATTCTGGCCCTGTACTCTAATATATGTACGCATTGTAGAAACTAGTAGCAAATTATATGGAAGAAATACAAAGTTTGATAAGGTAGCTAAAAATATGTTCCACGTAAACTTATAATGAGAGTGAGTTACTGAAAAATCCTCTGACGCGATCATTGAGAAAAACGCTGTTTACTGCCACTTTACGAATAACCTGCTCTAACCATCTACTGGCGCAACTTAATGTCGAGGGAACGTTACCTCGATTGTCTAATTCCATGTTCACCTTTTCTTGTGGAGCTAGGTACACTGAACGTTCGTTGAGAAACATATCCCATCGAAGAGTTGGAGAGTAACTCCCAGTTTGCCTGAGCAAAGGAGTGGAGCGTAGAGGTATTAATTCATCGCTATTGCAACATAATGTAAATACTGATCACGATGCAGCATCTGACACATCGTTCAATATAGTCTACAAAGTCCAACAAGATCTGCTGGAAGGGACACGAGTGCACTAGCTTTGTACATCAGAAGCTTCAGCGATGAATAATATAAAGCCAGAACTTTGTGTGCTACAAAGCAACTTCTACGATCTCTTTCGTTATCAGTCCATGGTCTTGATTTTACTAAAGTAATTCGCATAAAAACTTTGTTATCCTTCTTTACCCCAAGTTCCAATTTTTATTTTATTTCATTACACTTAATGTTATCATATTCTAACATCTTGTCTGTTCTACTACTTTGAAAACATTTCACTCATCTTATGTCTCCACGATGTTATATTCTCACATATTCACATTTCCAAATGTACTTTATTTTCCGATCATCTATTTCACACATGTCGTCCATTAAACTTTAGGTTGACCTATATTTTCTATAGTTTTGGTTTGTAAGGGTTAGTTATGTTTTTACGAGCTGATCACGGATTGATATCAGTTAGAGAACCATTGAATAATAATAAGCAAAGGAAAAAACATGCTCGAGAACATTTACCAGCTTGATTCAGCAAGGGGGAAATTAAGTGCATCAAAAGCTACATCCTGTCACACTTGGTCGATACTGGACGTCATATCGATGTCAACACAGCTTTCAGGGTTATATACCGAATTCCGAAGTCGTTATCACGTACAGTCAGTCCGCTTACGTCTCCTACACATAGCTGTTGCCATAAGATCGACTAAACCGGAACTTTGTATCAAAAAGAACACGCCCAGACTCTGTTCCTACCGTGGCCAAACTTGGATTAATGATTCTTCTTCTCACCAAGAGTGCTCCTTGTACTTAACCCTTGCTGTTTTCTTTTCTTTCTCTGCTTATTATTACAAATATTATTATTACAATTACTATTATTCGTCATAATTTATGCCCTTCATGCAAACATTCCCTCAATACTATCGAACTTTCATTCATTTATACGGACTTATTATTATCTCTTTTCTCAATATATGCCCTACCTGTTTCATTTAATATATTCGTTATTTCATTATGAACCTCTCATTGCAGTCTTACTATCTCCTGTTTAACACAGACCACTTTGTACTAGCCACTCACCTGACACCTTTTATAACCTTGAACTGATTTGTCAATTTTCCCACCCCACACTTAACAAATTTATTATGACTAATCACCACCATCGTCTCCCGTTTTACAACATTTTGTAATCGATTTAAGCCAACTAGCACGTTTGTCACACAAATACGACTATTTATTTTGACACGCCATAACTACTGATCTGTTATTCTACGTTAAAAAATGTATCCGCCGCATACCTGGCTATCTTTATTGTAACGACCACAAATATATTCTATTTTATAATTGTAAGAACCTGAAGAGAAATTATTGAAAAGAATATTCTTCGTTCAGATTGACTTTCAATTCATAATATGGGAATATTTCACACTATCGAATCATATGCATATATATATATATTCAAGAATTGGTTTTGCAGGGATTTTGTTCGATTAGTTGGAGGATTTCGTCATGAGCTGACATCAGTTAGAGGACCAATGGAAAACCTGCAGAGTGTACTGGAAAACTGTTTCTTCAACCTAGTGTTGTACTCTTTAGCAGCACGAACCCGCTGCCACGGTTCGAACCCAGGACCTTCTAGTTACAAGGCCAGGGAGCTCATAGACCATTAAGCCACCGGGAACCGATCCAATGACCAGCCCATGAATTCCAACTTCTGTCAATTCATTACATAGCGCAACCACTTCGCAATATATATATATATATACGATTGTACAGTTTTGAAAATGAAGTCATCGAAAAGAGAATTTTCTTCGCTGGACTTTTCGTTTTATAACAAATTACGTAAAATAAAAAGGATTAATCGGGTCAAGATCAAACCAAACAGATGAATTGAGTGTGAAGATTGAGTAGAATCCAGCTAGAATTGAACAATAGTCAAGTTTAACCGCAGTGGTAATAAAGGGCACGCTATGTTTACTATCCGAATGCATCATAGAACAATTACCCTCATAGTTTTATAGATGAGGAAAAAGAATCCCCAGCCACACCTCTATCCTGGAACGCTTAACCGAATCTGGACACCAAACTAATAATCCCCAAAGGAACTTCAAAGTTATCAACAGAATAAATGAGAGTCTTATTAAATGAGTACGAATCAAACTTCTTCAAACCAGAGAAGCAACGGCAATTCAAATGTTTAATCCTGAACTCTGCATATGGGAGAAGTTTGTCCAGTCAATAAATCTACAATGGAACTGACCTACCTTGACACCGAAAACGTAATGTTTGTTCTTAATTGTAGTATCTTTTTCCGGAACCCCCAATTAATTTCCTACCCCTTATTATCACTGTTGTTAAACTTGACTGTCGCCCCATTCTAGCTGA